AGCTGTGGGACTGACTTAATGCTACTTCAACACCTGTTGCAAACTTCTTCATGAATCAGCAAGCACAGCCTCCCTGGTTCTGCCTGTGCTGGTGAACTTTCTCTCCTTGTGTGTGAATGTGTTCTAGAAGCTTAAAACACTAAGCGTATTCATGCGGCAAATTTTGCTATCAGGATGTGAATTCCAGGTCTCACTTGCAGCTTTGCAAGTGCAGGTGATGAGATCTGTCCAGGCATTGGTGTGAAAATACTTGGACAGCTAGAAAACAGGTGACCTGAGCTGCAAGCACAGCACAGGACAAGCCTCACTCACACAGCCACTCGTATAGTCATGATGGGTTTGCCTGGGATAGAGTTCTTTTTTATAGCAGCTCGTGTGGGACTCTGTTTTGGATTCGTGCTGAAAACAGTGGGCAGATGGTATGGAACATCCCTTTGCTCAGCTTGGGTTGGCTGTCCCAACTTCTTGTGCCTCCTTGCTGGTGAAGTGAGAAGCAGAAAAGGCCTTGGCTCTGTGTAAGCACTGCTCAGCTACAGCTAAAACATCTCTGTGTTACCAACACTGATTCAAAACACAGCCCACACTAGCTGCTATGGAGCAGCCAACACCAGCACAGCAGTGAAATAAAGTCCTCACTCCTCTTCCCCAACTCTCAAATCCGTATCCTGTCAGGAAGCTTGAAGAAAAGGACAAATCACCTAGAACTCCTTGAATAGTCAACACTTAGGGCCTAATCCCACGTTTGTGTCTCAAAGAGGGTGAATTCTAGACAAGCATAAGGTTTGGCAGGCAGGAACAGCTTGGCTCAATAGGTATTTTGACAGCATAGGTTACCAACTCTATTTTTCTGTCTGAGTTGGCACTGGACTCTATCGGTTTGCATTGTATTTTCTTCTCAAGAAAAAGCTTTGTGAAAACTGTTGGAGCTTCACTGAGACATGTTAAAGAATTAATTACAAAGCAAAGCCGAAGGAGAAAATTAATTTTGGAAACACAAGAGGTTACTTTTCTTTTCCTCCCTTTTCTGGAAGTGGGGGAGGAAAGGCAGTTATTTTCATCTTCGTGCTGGGGGCAGGAGCTGGGAGCTGTCCAGTCGATAACCTGGCCATCAGAACAAGGTTTGTAATTAAAAGGTCAGTGACCTGGAAAGCTGGGGCCTCACTCTCAGGGCTTCTCAGTAATGACGGTGCTATTAAATTAAGACTGTTATGAAATCAATGCTAAAAAAGCTTTCATGGTAACGAGATTCCATTCAAGGACATGCAAACTGCCTCATGAAATGGACTTAAATTATAAAGAAAAAAGAAAAGTAATAAAAGAGGGTTAAATTGAAATCTGCTGAAGAATTTGCTTTCTTTAAAGCCTTCCAGCAGTTGGCTGTGCCTCCTTCTCTCAGGTCCTCAAGGTGATCCACTTGGGTTTCTTTGGCAAAGGGGAAAATAGAGGGGTTCAGCTCCCAAGAATGCAGACCTCAGGAGGAGGGAGCAAATTAAGTCAGTTTTCTAGTGGAGATTCTGGGACTGACAGCTTTTGTTTCCAGGGAATCAAGTGTCTTTGAGCTCTGCCTGGCAAGGGGCATGTAGAATTAAATAATTTATTCCTCTCTTCAGCGACCACCACAGCCTGGAACCCTGGCACTGGCAAAATTGCCTGGAACTCTGATGCACTGCAAAAAAACCTTCTGGGTGGACATTTTCCCAACATAACTCACCAATTATACATTTACTTGTGCTAATGCACTCCTGTTCTCCCATCACTATTATTTCTGAGCTCCTCATATGCTTCTGCCTGTTCCCACAATCCCACTCCGGGCAGGCATTACTGTACTTGTTTTAGAGACGAAGAGAACAAGCAACCAAGAAAAGATTTCTTCATCCAAGATGACACAAGGCTGTAGCTCAGCAGTTGTCCCAAAGGCCCAGCACCCTGCAAAGCAGAGCTCCCCATGGCCAGTGCACTTCCACCCCCTTTCTGTGCCTTGCCAGAAGTCAGAGCTTCAGAGCACACAGAACTAACAAAGCACATGAGTTACCGGATGGGTAACTGAGCAGTGCAGGATATCTGAGGCACAACAGTTAGATGACAGACACATTTCCACAAGGGTTTAAACCCCACATGCTGTCTAATTACTCCCAAGGCGCCGCTGATTCTGTGGCATGTCATCAGCAGAATCAGCGAGTTGGACAAAAAACAAACAGCGTCTTTTTTTTTTTTTTCCTTTTCTTTTCTTTCAGATACTCTGAGGGGAAACAGCTGTTTTTCCCTTCATCTGAAGAAGTTCATGATAAAAAGGAGGAAATGTCATAAATTACACAAAATGCCAGTGTAAGCTTCAAAGAAAATGATAAATGATTCTAATAACTTCATGTTTCTCATTAATGCCTCTGTATATGGGAGTTTAAAAGTGCTTAAGACAACAGAGAAATCTCATCCAACTTTTGAAAGCCCTTTCACAAATCCAGGACACCCTCACTCTCCCAACTGTCATCAACCATCACCCCATGTGCCAGAGAGAGCAGTTCAGCAACCCCTGACCTGTACAGGACCAGGAAAACCTGTTTTCAGCCTCTCTGCAGCTACTGCTTCACCAGAGACAACCCTGGGCCAGCTGATGATCCTGCAGAAACTCTCATTTCCCACTGCACTGAAGTCTATTAAACAAATCCAGTTCTTATATCCAATATCAAACAATACTAAAAGGAAATAAAATTTATTGGCCTTTTTTAGGAAGAAGACTCGGAGAAAAAGAAGAACAAATTCTAATTCAAGGTGGAACCATCTCTGCAAGTCTCAGAAGTGAAATTCCTGAGGTAAAGGAAGGATTGCAGGATCTTTTTTGACTGGACTTCTCAACCAGACACCTAACTATCTGTAAGCTGGGGATAACCATCATGGTTGGGATGACAGTGACCATCAGAGAACAGGGGGAATAGCCTACCAAATCCTGCAATCCCTGACCTACTCAGGACTAAACCAGCCACAACTCTGTTTCAAGATGAATTGCCTCCATCTGCTAGAGCACATAGGTACCAGGGCAGTATGGACCTTCTGCTCCTCAGCACTGAGCACAGGTCACATTCCATATGGACATTTTTCCAGTGACTGCTGGGCACGGGCACTACTGGACCCTGCTCCTTCCTCCCTCCTACTGCTAAGGTTTCAAACAAACAATTAGCACAAAGGGAAGGAGGGCTAATTAACAAACAGGAACAAACAAACAGTTCTACCAAACCATTTCTACTCTTTAGTAATTATTAGCCGAGCAATTCATAAGAAGTATTAGTCGGGCCACAGTTTCTCTGTGCCTCCATCTCCCCACCCCTTCCTCTTCTCCCAGTCAGGGATTTATTAAAATTAAACAGATTAGATGGAGCTCCTGATACTAAAAACTGTTCAGCAAAGCCTGCGGTGGGGAAGTGCAGAGCAAACACCAGAGACATTTGTCTCTAAATTGCTCTAAATACCTTCTGCAAATGAAATTCTAACCCAGCTGTGTTGAGAGAGAAAATGAGGAATAACTGGTCATTGTCAGCAGAGAAGAAGATCAGGCAGTTATAATATTGCACGATATACTGGGGGCTAAGGATCTCTCGGCAACAATAGATTTTGTATCAGGTTACCCCGGGTAATCAGCACAGCTTTTAGGCTCAGCTTTCCCTTGCTTCATTGCTTCGATGATAGAGTTGAAATCCCCAAGCTTTTATGATTAATTACTCCCTGTAGGTCCACATATTTCAAGGAAAAACTCATGGAGCACAGCGACCAACAGGCTCCAAATTTTAATGTCATCCTGATGGCAGGGCAGGGCAAGCAACATACCTATGTGATTGGAATGTTCTCTTCACTGGCAGTAGGACAAGCAGTGAGAGAGAGGATCACACTCCAAATGATGTGCCCGTGAACTCCTTGTCATGACATCATTGCCAAACACAAGGCAATGATTCCTTTCTAGGTCCTTTGCTATTCCAGATGAGCAAAGGGTGCATCCACTTGACCTCTCCATCTCATGACATCAGGTCTCAGGCGTCTCAGTAAACAGTTCACAACCCCAAACAGAATAATACATATTTCACAAGCTTCCCTACTTCTCAAAAGTCAACTTCTTTAGCTCTATAGTTTGATGGACCTTGAAGTACTTATGACTTCAACGTATAAGTGGGTCACTCCCCTCTGAAGTTAGGAGTTTATATTTTCAGTATCATTTCAACAGCTCAAAGTGCTCCATAGTGCATGTAATTAACTGCAAGTTAAAATTGTCCTTATTATTTACATCCTGTGGTAAGGATCTAAGCAATATGGTCCCAGGAGGGTAGCAAAACATGGAGCAAACTTCACCTGAAATGCACTGTGAGTTGGGGAATAAAAACTTTCGGGGAAAAAAAAGGGACAAAAGATATTTTCACTATGAGTCAGAAAGCAAAATACGTTCTCAGCAGGCAATGGCCAAAGCATGTTCCATCTGTCTAAGACGATATAGGGTTTGTCAGGATCTGTTCTATCCGTGCTACAGAAAAGGGCTAAACTCAGTCAGTAGTTTACCATTTCAGCCTGAAAGTCAGGTTGACCCCAAGCTTGACCTTAGCCTGACCTTGTTTACTTTCACCAAGCCCTTTGCCCTTCACTCCTCTCTCTGGCTCCCTTCAGAAACATTTGACCTTTTCACCCACAAGTTGGTCATTCCAAAGCCAATGTCAGTAAGGCTTGAACTGACCAACCAGTCCACAACTCCAAACTGTCCTCGCTGCAGAAAAGATCTGATAACAGTCAACCCAAAAGCTTCCCATGTGTCTTTTGTATTCTACAGTTCCACATCTGGTGCCAATATTGCTCTACTCCGTTGGGAAGAAAAGAGACTGATATTCCTGACAAATTTGAATCTTTGTTTGAGGCAATTACTTGCTCTGTCCTTAACCTCTGATTTTCCATAGCAATACATTTTGGCTTTACACTAACCCAAGGTCCCTCATTATCACTGAGATCACAAACTGGAGAGTGCGTACCTTTTTTCTTCAGGAATGCTCTTCTGGATGCAAGAGGACTTTGGCGGACACGCGGATTCTGTAGAAACTTCACTGCTGTCACAATCTGGGGAGGGTTGGAGGGTTGAAGAGAAAGGAGAGAGAAAAGAACCAAGTTAGGAATGGTCCAATCCCTATCCTCAGCTTGTCGTGACTAGAAAAAGAGCAACTTCACATATTTTGGATCACACGACAAAAATATCCAAAAAGTCACTTTTAGTGACATAAATGGGTCGATGAGCAGTTAAATTTCTGTTCCACACTAGCAAAAATCACAGACTACTTTTGTCTACACACTGACTTCTCCATCCTTCTTTAAGATGACAGAGCACCTCAAACGGAGCACTTACTCCAACAAGGGGTAAAGTGTGGGTAATACTCAAAGGCATCGATGACAACAGCACTCGATTCTTACACTTCCATTTAGTGCCACTGAAAGGTGGTTGATTTTTTTCCTCATGTGGTAGTTCCACTTTCCATATACTCTCCTGTACTGTTACACACCTTATTACATGTTGCTGCAGCAGTGATTCACTCTACTTTTATATAAATGCATCTGTTCTGACCACGCTGGGGAGAACAATGTGCCTGAAGCGAACAGGGGATGGACATATCCATGTGAGCTAGTGGAAGAGATTACTTCCCTCCTCTTCAGCTAAAAAATAACCATCCTGACACCCTGGCCCTATGTTAGGTAGGTCCTGAAGAGGTTATCTTAAAACACAGCTTCTGGAATTTGGTTCCAAAAAGGTTTCCAAAACTTTCACAGCAGAAAGAGCAGGGAAAATAGAGCGTGGCTCCTGAAATCACTAAGTTTCACTTTGTGTTTGAATCAAAGGCTTCGAATATGCATTTCTGGTCAGAGAGCAAAGTTCTGATGGGTTTAATGGCACTTTCAATGTACTCCTCAGTGCATTCCATCAATGTTTTTTTTCTTTTAAATTGCATCTCTTATTTCTTTAAATACATTAATCAGCCTAGTGTAGGCAAAACGGATCCATTGGACAATGCAATAAACATGAATTATCATCTATCCAACATGCATAATGGCTTAAAAATACATAATAGCAGGTGTAGTTTAAATGATTAGTTATTACACCTGTGGTGGGTCTGATTCAATTGGGGAAAATCATCTTTAATAGGTTAAAAGGTTTAGATCACCAGGCTTCCCTTAAAGTGGCTGTAGAGAGGCTGTGATGGAGTAGGCTGTCATTACTAATTCATTTAAGAAAAACATGGGGGATACAGCAAAGAACAGCATAAACGAGTGAATCCAATTTAAACATCAGGTAAGGCAGAAAACACCTTTTAAAAAAGCATGATAAATGAATTTGGGAGAGAGACAAAATTGACATATTTATTTGAACGGGAATTTGACAAAGTCCCAGCACACTTCCAAGTTGGGAGGCTAAAATGAATGGGGTGGGTTTAATTCTTTGCCTTTTCTTGTTTTCCTGCCTTTTTTTTTTTCCTTAAGTTTACATTCAGTAATTTTGAACCATAAAATACTAGAGCAAAACACCCCACATAAAGTACACTTGGGCTTCATTTATGTGCACTTGATGTGTCTCCAGCTGAAATGCAGGTGACAGGCAAATCACAGATTTAAACTGTGCTGATATTGCTGTGCCAGATGCAGAAATATAAAGCTCCCAAACTAATAACCTTAAGATAATATGCTGAATAAGAAAGATGCCCAAATGAGGAGACCAATAGACACGTGAACATATCAAAACCACTTTCCTTCTAACAGTAATTACTTGTTTGTGTCTTCAGAAACTCAACTCTCCCTCCCACAGTCAGTGAGCCAGAGACACCAAGGGCCTGCAGACCTGCACTTCTGCAAGCTCTTCTACTCCACTATCCTCTTTTAAGCATTAAAAAACCCATAAGAAATCAGCAGCATCTTTCACTGTGCTATTTCAAACACAACCATGCGAACACCTCATTGATTCGAACCCTTTACTTATTTTTGCCTTGTAAAAAATGTAAACGTTTGGGTAGTAAATTTCACTCCAAAATAAACTTCTGGTTTATCTCTCCCTTGCATCACTTCCTCCATTATTCACAACCTTTTTAATCTTAAACCAAAATAAAATTACAAGCAACAATAAACTTCATTAAAAAAAGAAGCCTGGATATGTATTCCTCTTCCCAATAATCCCACGTTTCTTGTATTTTTGTTTGCATTTCCCTTGGAACATTCTTCCCATAGGCTGAGCCGAAACGTCTTCATTTTCATAATTCATCTTGTACACATGAGCAACTTATGAAGCAATTTTAGCCATGTCAAAATGCCAATATTTCCAACAAACATACACAAGAACTTCCCTACCTTCTATGGATCATTTTCTTTGCACAAACAAGGGCAACTGCAGTCCATAATTTAAACAAGAGAAAAAGGAGGAGGAAGAGGAGAAGACTCGCAGCTCTGCGTATAGCCAAAAAAATCATGTGGCAAATAGCACTCTGACTCAGCTGCTAACATTGTTCCATACTATTTCTGTAGCATTTGTAACACTTCTCCAAATTTTTAGGGTATGAAGACACTGCCAAATAATGAGCATTGTATCACTGCTCTGGTTCTGGGGCTGCCAGCACGCTGCTTTATCTGCTGATCAGGTGCCTATTGCTCTTCGTGAAATTCAGAATATTTGGCTTTCAAAAACCAAGTCAGTTCCCTAAGATTGCCATCCCACCTCTCCTGCAGGGACAGGATCCACACAGGCATCTTTCAGACTGGGTGGTGATGGGTGGAATCCTGCAGCAGATCTTGTCCTACAGTTTGATTTTCTAACTAGAAGATGAATGTCTCCGTTCAGAGACTATATCTGCAACTGGCCAAATTACATAAATTTAGGCCAAATATTCTGCTTCAATGTCAAAGATATAAAATGTACCCAGGAAAACTTGATTGCAGATGTTGTGGGAGTGCAGCAGGCTGGTGAAATTCTGGGCCAGAGCACAGCACTTGGACGTTACAGCCAAGGTCCCTCGTTCCTAATTTCCCTCCCTTTTGTGCTAATGGGGAAGATAAAGAAGCTTTATTTCTTATTGTGCTCAAGGCTGCAGGGTTTCCAATAAAGCAATCTAAGAGACTTTATCAGTGACTAGTGTTTGAAAAATAAACCATGAAATTTCAAATACTAGGGGAAATGCCTACTTTCTACCATCTCAAAAGAAAACCACCAAAAAAACTCAACAACCAAACCAAATCAATTAAGAAAAACGTACAAGAAAATCATCTTCAGCAATAAAAGTTCCACAGGATTTGAGAATAGAGTTCCACGTGGAGAACAGACTCAAAAGGCACTGGGAGCTCTAATAGATTCCCTAAACCTGGGAACCCTCTGTAGGTTATTGCTGAACAGCATTTGTTGATAGACTGAGACTTTGAGATGACCTGTGATGTAAAGGTTGGGTCTGAATTATACGTTGCAGGGGATGGTATTTTGTCTTTCTGAGTGGATCTGTATCTGTTTAAATGCAACACTTCTTTTCATTAAGCAGAGGCAGCCCAGGCCATGAACTATGCACAGACAGTTTACATTACATGTGCGGAAGCAATCAACACTGGCAATATACATGACGTATGTAAAAGAAGTTGGAATTAATTTTTTTTCCCAGTGTATTAAAAAATAATAATATGGCAGTATCAACAAACACTCGACCTATTTCAGCCAGAGCAGAAGGCCAAAGCTATAGGGCAAATGGAACTGATCAATATATTAGCCTCCAGCAACACCCCCTCAGTGTACGGCTGTGTGTTCGCGAGGCTCAGACGATTAAATTGTCTGTGAAAGGTTTCTGCACTCCTACTCTAAAGGAGATACCCAGAATCCTGTTAACAAGCATCAGGCTAAAGCCAACTTACGTTTTAACAAGGGCTGACTTAAAAGCCTGGCACGGCAGCGAGCACGAAAACCCCCTCCGACAGAAACGGCGCGTTTTAGCAAGAAATCAGTGCCCTGCCAGGACTCGCTTGACAAATATGGTTAGCGGTGGCACACGGAAATAGTTGCAAAGCAGCTGTTAATCAGGGAAACACATCATAGAACGCTGATGCCAGCACTCGGAAAAAATGCAAGGGGCTAATTATGAAGCTATATATCTCGCTAAGGAGGCATCGCTCCGCCGTCCAGCACGGCTGGGACACCGCTCCGCTCTGCCTCCTCCTCCTGCAGGACAGATCCACACCCAGGGATCCCTGCCCTGGATTCCTGGGACACTCCTGTCTCAGAAAACACTTGTTATTTGTCAGGGAATTTGTGAGGGTGGTGAGACACTGGCATAGGTTGCCCAGGGAGGCTGTGGCTGCCCCAACCCTGGCAATGTTCATTCCAGGTTGGATGAGCCTTAAGCAACCTGCTCTGGTGGGAGGTGTCCCTGCCCAGGGCAGGGGGTTGGGGCTGCATCATCTCTGAGCTCCATCCCAAACCCTAAAATTCTCTGATTCTATGAATTGTGTGCAGGTTGGTCAGGGGAGAAGAAACGTGTAAAGGGGATCGCATAAAGGTAAACATGTAAAGGAGAGTGTGTAAAGGGGAACGTGTAAAAGAGAATGTATAAAAGGGAATGTGGAAAGTAGAATGTGTAAAGGGGAGCGTGTAAAAGAACATGTAAAGTGGAATGTGTAAAGGAGAATGTGTAAAG